GCTGTACTAGGGAGGGAGCGTTTACGGCTGCCAACTTTCTCCCAAATACGCCCCAGCTGAGATGAAGGAGGATCTGAACCGGAGGGCCGCACCGGGCTGTCTGAGGCATCCCGCGAGGGCAGAAGGTGCAGCGCCTCCAGGGTCGACTTGGCCTCTTCCGGATTGTGGACAACATGGCTCTGACCTTGGTACTCGAACGTAAGCTTAAATGGAAAGCCCCATTGGTACTTGATGTGACGGTTCAAAAGGGCTGACGTGAAGGGTTTCATCTGTCGACGTTTCTGGATGGTGGATGGTGCCAGATCCATGAACAGCTGGTACGGATGACCTTGAAAGCAAAGATCCTGTTTGTCTCGCGCAGAGCGGAGAAGCGATTCTTTCATACGGTAATAGGTGATTTTAATTATGATGTCCCTAGGAGGACCCTCAGACCTCCTCGGACCCAGGGCCTGATGAATGCGATCGAACTCCAGACGGTCTATCTGTATCGCCGGATCCAATTCTTGAAAAAGCGCTGTGGCAGTAGACGTGAGGTCAACGATGGCTTCGAGCAGGCCATGTAGGCAGAGATTACCCCAACGGGACCTATTCTTGAAATCTTCCAAGCGCAAGAGAGCCGCATCAAGCTCTCTTCGCAAGTCTGAAAGGTCCTGTTCATGATTTTCGATCACCGTAGCTGCGGCGTCCATCTTATCTTCAAGAACGTCGGTGCGGCTTCCCAATTTGCAAATTTCTTTGGTGAGATGATTCGCTAGTTTGGAAGTGGCGGTGTGAAGCTCCTGTTGAAGCATGGTCTTAAACCTAGCCAGGAGATCTGTGTCCCGCAGGGGGGGGCTGTTGGTGGTCTGCGGCCTGCTTGGAGGGCTGTGGGTGGTCTACGGCCTGCATGGAGGGTTTGTGAGTGGTCTGCGGCCCGCACGGAGGGTTGTGAGTAGCCTTCGGCCCTCAGGGGAGGCTGTGGATGATCTGCGGCCCATATGGAGGGCTGTGGGTGATCCGCAGCCCGCATAGAGGGCTGTGTGGTCTGCGGCCCTGAGGGCCGTGGGTGGTCTGCGGCCCTCGAGGGCCGTGGGTGGTCTGTAGCCCACAAGGAGGGCTGTGGGGGGTCAGTGTCCTGCATAGGGGGCTGGTGGAGGTCGGCAGGGTAGTCTGGCAGGCTCTCCAGGTCCGAAGAGGCATCCGGGCAGCCCGAGGACAGCGGCGGGGATACGGCCGAAATTGAGGCCGCGGCTTCTGCCGACAAGTAGGCCGCATCGGCGGACCTGCTCTGGAGCCGAGTACGGGAGGGCCGCGGTTCTTTTCCCCATGGCAGTGGGGGGGGGTCAGCAGAGGGTGAGGACAGATGTGGGGGACAGATTCCCAGGAGGCCGATTATTGCGGTAATGTGCCCAACGGCGCAGGAGCACAGAGGTTAGGCGGCCATATCCTGCGCTGCTCATGAGCGCAAACCGGTCAGGGATTTTTTAAAAGCAAAATGTTGCGTTTTTGGTTCTATATACTTCAATGGAGATGCTGCAGAAAAGCATGTAGTGCATTTTTGATGCATTTTGTGACGCATTTTTATGCGTTTCGCATTTTAATCTTTAAATTGTTAATTTTCTGATCTTGTTCCTAGGAAGTCCTAACACTTTCCTTGTCCATTACATGCTGGTGGGTATGACAGAACCCAGCTCAGCAAATCATGTTCAAAGGAAGCTTATCACAAGTAAATAAATAAATAGAACTATAACCTGCCATATACAATGAAAATAGTAAATGCTGCTTCTGATACTATCGCTGCTGCTGCTGCTGCTGGTGCTGCAGGGCATGATCAGGAACAATAATTCCCCCCCTTCCCTAACAAAAACACACACTTCATACTGTTCAATTATATGTCTGCCTATTAGGGGCGGACTGACAACTCATGGGGACCCCAGGCAATAGGGGATCTTGGGGCCCCTGTGTCCTTGCCCAAACTCAAAAAGCCTATGAAAAAGGTACCAGGGGCATCTCATGGGGCCCCCTACTGACCCCGGGCCCTCAGGCAGTGCCCGAGTTTCCAAATGGTCAGTCCGCCCCTGCTGCCTATCCAACCTAAAGCACAAAAACTATTAACCATATCATGCTAATATGTTTTTAAATCTGAAGCTGTGATAGAGGTTTGGCAAGAATTCATGGAACCATAGAACAACAAACCAAAAACCAAACAGCTGCAGAGGCAAAAATGGCATGAGCCATCAACTGTTAACAAATATGGGTTCAATATGGGTTGATTCTCAGCTCATGAATCAACTTATTAATATTGACTAGTTACATATTTTGGACCTAAGTAAAAGATAATGCAATTATGGAAGACCAAAATGCTGACCTGACCTAGTATTTTGCATTGAAAAAGCACCCACATTAGCTAATGGGAATCCACTGAACACAAAGCAATTATCACATTTGCAAGCATCACTGAAAGAGCTGAGTAAAAATAACTAATAATAAAATAGAACAGAAACTGTAATATTAATACTTTATTAATCTGTTACAAAGTTTAAATAAAACACAGCTTAATGCATTATTCTAATTTCAAAAACTACATTTAAAAATCATGGGATCAGCATAATTTCTCCTACTCCTGGCGTAACATTCCTAACTTAACATAAGGCATAAGAAATGTTTTATTTCATTTACATTTTCTACAAATATGCATGGCTTTATTAATCATTTATGACAACATGATATAATCTAATTCATGCCACAAAACTACAACGTATAAGAACACACATTATTCCTATATCAATAACACATTTTATCAATTAATGTCTCCCATGGTGTGAGAAACAAAAAACACTAGGTAATGACTTACACATATTCATGAGCATAACATACTATAAACTAGAAATTCTTTCTATTTCAATCACAAATTAATGGAATTAAATAACATAACCAGCTTTAGAATTCATTGCTCATTAAGACAAGAAATGCTAAATAGATCTATATATAAAGATTTGATCAAACAAGGTTGTATGCTATGGCACAAAAAGTACTTTTGACAGAAAGTAGAGTTTCTCCAAGCAAGTTTAAGTCCTGCCCTTTGATAAGGTATTAGTATATGCTTTGCATGCTTTACATAAACTGCCAGTACCAAGAGCACAGCTTTAACAATTGTTATTTTATGATTATAGACATTCACCATAACATTGTGCATATACACTGCTCAAAAAAATTAAAGGAACACTTTGAACGCACATCACATCTCAATGGGGAAAAAATATCATGCTGGATATCTATACTGATATTGACTGGGTAATGTGTTACGAACATAAGGATGCCCCATCATTTGATGGAAATGAAAATTATCAACCTACAGAGGATTGAATTCAAAGACACCCCAAAAATCAAAGTGAAAAAATTATGCAGCAGGCTAGTCCATTTTGCTGAAATGCAATTGCAGCAACTCAGAATGGTAGTTAGTAGTTTGTGTGGCCCCCACGTGCTTGTATTCATGCCTGACAACATCAAGGCATGCTCCTAATGAGAGGACAGATGGTGTCCTGGGGTATTTCCTCCCAGATCTGGACCAGGGCATCACTGAGCTCCTGGACAGTCTGAGGCGCAACCTAGCGGTGTTGGATGGACCGAAACCTGATATCCCAGAAGTGCTCTTTTGGATTTAGGTCAGGCGAGCATGGAGGGCATTCAATGGAATCAATTCCTTCATCCTCCAGGAACTGCCTTCATACTCTCGCAACATGAGGCTGAGCATTGTAATGCACCAGGAGGAACCCAGGACCAGCAGGGTCTGACAATGGGTCCAAAGACTTCATCCCGATACCTAATGGCAGTCAGGGTGCCATTGTCTAACCTGTAGAGGTCTGTGCGTCCCTTCATGGAAATGCCTCCCCAGAACATCACTAACCCACCACCAAACGGACATGCTGAACAATGTTACAGGCAACATGACGTTCTCCATGGCTTCTCCAGACCCTTTCACGTCTGTCATATGTGCTCATGGTGAACCTGCTCTCATCTGTGAAAAGCACGGGGCACCAGTGGCGGACCTGCCAATTCTGGTATTCAATGGCAAATGCCATCGAGCTCTATGGTGCTGGGCAGTGAGCACAGGGCCCACTAGAGGATGCCGGGCCCTCAGGCCACTTTCATGAAGTCTGTTTCTGATTGTTTGGTCAGAGAAATTCATACTAATAGCCTACTGGAGGTCATTTTGTAGGGCTCTGGCAGTACTCATCCTGCTCTTCTTTGCACAAAGGAGCAGATACTGGTCCTGTTGATAGGTTAAAGACTTTCACAGCAAACCTTCTGGCAATGGAACATATTGATATGCCATCCTGGAGGTTTGGACTGCCTGTGCCGGTCCAGGTATTGCCTCGTGTTACCAGTAGTGACACTGACCCTAACAAAATGCAAAACTAGTGAAAATCAGTCAGAAAAGATGAGTAGGGAAAAAATGTCAGTGGCCTTCACCTGTAAAACATTACTGTTTTGGGGGTTGTCTCATTGTTGCCCATTTAGTGCACCTGTTGTTAATTTCATTAACACCAAAGCAGCTGAAACTGATTAACAACCCCCTCTTCTACTTAACTGACCAGATCAATATCCCAGACGTTTAACTGACTTGATGCTATACTCTGATTAAAAAGTGTTCCTTTAATTTTTTTGAGCAGTGTGTGATATAGTTGGGCTCCCATAATGATGCTCATTTATTTCTTCAATGTTAAAATATGGCGAAGTGGAATTGGTGCAAACCTTGAAAAGAGTATATGTACATATTCACATAAAATCATGAATTTCGTTATCAGAAGTGTTGTAGTGAGGATCGCTCCAAATTACACAATTACCAAATGTGAGATTAAACAGCCAGGAGCTCCATTTGTTATACCGCAGTATTTTCCAGGTGGACATGAAGCAAAGGTGCAAACTAAACTGCCACTAACAGAGAGATATCTGCATTTTTTGGAGCAGGTATCATCAGTCCAGAATTCTGAGGCTACATGGTATTCCTAGTCATTATCCTAGCATTGGTGGCTTGGGACACAATTCTTATCATTCAGGACATAGCCAGGATCACAGACACAGGATTCTGTACAGGGGAGATGGCAATTCAGTTGTGCTCCTGGATTGACACAAGTTGGTGGACAGGCTATTCCACATTGCTCGTAATGGCTGTTTGGTGAACACTTCAGAGCTGTGCAAAAATAAAAAAGCAAACAAAAAATGTTAAAAAATAATTTAAAGAACATGTAACTCTGATTTAAAACAAACACTACATGTAACATATGTATGTGAAAAAAAAGTGCTTACCACCTTAAAAGCATGCACATTCACTGCATTGTAGACATATGGGTTTATTGATCATAAAGTTACTACTATTTTCATATTTGATTTTTATAAAAATTACTGTCATTTTGTAATCACATAATATTTAAAAAAAAAACCTTATGTTTCAAAGAATAACTTAGGGTACACTCTAGGGTATCTCCAGACAATTGTTTTTGAGGGTGCTATGTTGGTTTTGAAAGGATAAGTGGAGGTGCTAATGCGATGCATGTAGCCTGTTGCCTACCACACCCTTGAGGGTGTGGCCAAAGGTGGGAATGAACAAAAAGTGGGTGTTTTTTTTCATAGTCTATCCCATTGTATAGACAAAATAGGGCCTTGAGGCACACTAAATAAAGAGTAATAAAGCTCCAAATGGGAACAGCAATTTACATACCGTATATACTCGAGTATAAGCCGACCCGAATATAAGCCGAGGTACCTAATTTTACCACAAAAAACTGGGAAAAACTATTGACTCGAGTATAAGCCGAGGGTGGGAACACCAGTGGGAAGAATCGTGCCTCATCATTGGTGTCAGTGGGAGGAATAGTGCCCCATCATTGGTGTCACTGGGAGGAATAGTGCCCCATCATTGGTATCAGTGGGAGGAATAGTGTCCCATCATTGGTATCAGTGGGAGGAATAGTGCCCCATCATTGGTATCAGTGGGAGGAATAGTGCCCCATCATTGGTATCAGTGGGAGGAAATGTGCCCCATCATTGGTGTCAGTGGGAGGAATAGTGCCCCATCATTGGTGTCAGTGGGAGGAATAGTGCCCCATCATTGGTGTCAGTGGGAGGAATAGCCCCCATCATTGGTGTCAGTGGGAGGAATAGCGCCCCATCATTGGTATCAGTGGGAGGAATAGTGCCCCATCATTGTATCAGTGGGGGGAATAGCACCCCATCATTGGTGTCAGTGGAAGGAATAGTGCCCCATCATTTATCATGGTGTAGCATTATTGTGGTGGAATAGTGTCCCATCATTGGTGTCAGTGGGAGGAATAGTGTCCCAACATTGGTGTCAGTGGGAGGAATAGTATCCCATCATTGGTGTCAGTGGGGGGGGGTGGAGGAATAGTGCCCCATCGTTGGTGTCAGTGGGGGGGAGGAAAAGTGCCCCATCGTTGGTGTCAGTGGGGGGGAGGAATAGTATCCCATGTTTGGTGTCAGTGGGGGGTGGAATAGTGCTCCATGATTGGTGTCAGTGGGGGGTGGAATAGTGCCCCATCATTGGTGTCAGTGGGGGGGGGAGGAATAGTGCCCAATCGTTGGTGTCAGTTGGCGGGGAGAAAAAGTGCCCCATCGTTGGTGTCAATGGGAATGGAGGAATAATGCCCCATCATTGGTATCAGTGACACCAACGATGGGGCACTATTCCTCCCACTGACACTTACTGACCCCTGTTCCAGTATGGTGCTGCTGCAGCCAGCATATGTGGTTGCAGCAGCACCTAAGCACGGCACACTTACCTGCATCTCCTTCACTCGATTTTTCGCGGGGCCGCTCAGCTCCGCCTCCTCGCCGGTGATTGGTCGCCTGTGTGCCTTTCCTGAGCTACAGTTCTGGCGGCCAATCACCGGTGAGAAGGCGGAGCCCAGCAGCCGCGCGCGAACATCCAGTGGACGAACCGAATGAAGGAGCAGCCGCGCTTCCTGGACCGGATCGTCGTGGGACCGGAGCCAGGTAAGAGACAGCAGCCCCCTGCCCACCCCTGTACTTAGTTTCCCTTCTGTTGGAAGGGGGGGGGAGCCATCTGCAGACGTTGACTCAAGTATAAGCCGAGGGGGCCGTTTTTCAGCACAAAAAATGTGCTGAAAAACTCGGCTTATACTCGAGTATATACGGTAGTTAGTCTGGATGAAAAAAGACAAACGTCCATCCAGTTCAACCAAAAGAAAAAAGTTATAATCCTATACCCACCATTGATCCAGAGGAAGGCAAAAAACCCAGCAAAGCATGATTCAATTTGCTCCTGCAAGAGAAAAGATTCCTTCTTGATCCCCCCGAGAGGCAATCAGATATTCCCTGGATCAACTTTACCTATAAATGTTAGTATCCAGTTATATTATGTGTATCTAGGAAAGAATTCAGGCCTTTATTAACTGCTTCCCGACCGCCGTATAGCAGAAATACTGCTACAGGGCAGCACAGGTGTGCAAAATCACGTCTATATATGCAATTTAGCATTTCTGCATGCGAGCCCTACCCGCTCTGCCATTCGAGGGCGCGGATGTCAATCACTGGGACCCGACCAGTGATTACCCGCCGATGCCAGGGTGATTACCGAGCATCTCCGACAGGGAGGAAAAACTGTTTTGAAATACTGAAACCATTCAAGGCCATCAGTGTCATCATACTGGAGAACCACTTCCCGTCTTAGACTTCTAGAATTTGTTTACAAACAGTCTTCCTTCCTGTCAGTGCGGGCACACTGCTCGGGATGGCTGTGCACAGCACAGCCAACCCGAGCAGTGTGCTTACAGTAAAGTACACCCCCCTGCCCCCTAGTAAAACACTCCCTACATATAGTTAACCCTTTGATCACCTCTCATGTTAACCCCTTCTTGCCCAGTGTCATTAGTACAGTGTCAGTGCTTTTTATTAGCACTGATCACTGTATTTGTGTCACTGGGGATGTCAGTGACACCAAGTCAGTTCCCCCCCCAGTTTCAGAATGCCCGCCATAGTCCTGCAGTCCTGCTATAAGTCGCTGATTGCCACCATTACTAGTATAAAAAAAAAATTCCAGTATATATACCGCTATTTGTAGACGCTATAACTTTCACGCAAACCAATTAATTGACAGGTTTTTTTTTTTAGTAAAGACATGTAGCAGAATACATTTTGGCCTAAATTTCTGCCGAAATTAGATTTTTAAAAAATTTTTACTAGACATGTTTAATAGCAAAATGTCAAAAGTATTGCTTTTTTCTCAAAATTGTCAGTTTTTTTTGTTTATAGCGCAAAAAAAAAAAAATGCAGAGGCAATCAAATACCACCGAAAGAAAGCTCCATTTGTGGGAAAAGAGAACATAATTTCATTTGGGTGCAGCGTTGCATAACCGTGCAATTGTCAGTTAAAAAAACGCAGTGCTGTATCGCAAACAATGGCCTGGTCAGGAAGGGGGTAAATCCTCTGGAGGGCAAGTGGTTAAATAGAATCTGTGCCTAACTGCTACATACACTGCACAAGTATAATGCTCATGTACCAAAAAAATATTCCTAATTACTGTACCACAACTGACAGCCTCACAGACACAAAAAAAAAACTCAGGACAAAGGATCATTTTTAAAAAATTAAACATTTCCATTGCATATGCTTTCATGCACACCAAAAGTGACTTTTTGTGACTAACTGACTGAGCCAACTGTAAAGAATAACTTTGGGTATGATTAGCACAGTGGTCACGACTATGTAATGTACATGTAGAGAGTGCACGGCTCAGGAGTAAGTAACATACAAAACAAGAGTGCAGCAGTCAGAATGAACTCTGATTGTGAATGTTCACATCAAAGTCCACAGTATTTAGAAATGGTTCCAAGAGTCAATCCTTACATCAGAGCCCCACCTTACATCAGAGTTCCCCTAATATCAGAGTCCACAGACTTCCTTCTTACATCAGAGTCTACAGGTTTTCCTTTACATCAGAGTCTGCAGGGTTACACTTTACAGTGCAAGGGGAACTCTTCAGACCCTGATGTAAATGGGAACACTGTGGATTCAGATATAACAGAGACCTCTAAGGACTCTGGTGTAAGGCTGAATGCCATGGATTCTGGTGTAAAGGGAAGCTCTGATATAAGGTGGTCTCTAGTCACCAGACCCCCCTTCCCCCCCCCTCACACACACGCACGCACGCACGCACACACACACACACACACACACACAACACACACACACACACACACACACACACACACACACACACACGAGTCCCCAGAGTTCTACTTTACAAATCCGCAGAGTTCCCCCTTACATCAGAGTCCACATAGTTCACTCTTTACATCAGAATCTCCAGGGTTCCCCCTTACACTAAGGGGAAATGATGTTGACCATGATGCCATGGGATAATGCTGCAGACTCTGATGTAAAGGGGAACTCTGATGTAAAGGGGAACACTGCGGACCATGGTGTAAGGAGGAATGTTGCAGACACGGTTGTAAAGGGTTACTCTGATGTAAGGTGGTCTCTGGTCACCAAAGTCCCCCCTTACATCACAGTTTGAAGAGTTTCCCTCTACATCTGGGCAGAGAAAACATGGCTCAGCCAACCTGCCAACAGACATTAGGCAAATGTGATCTGGATGTATACAGAGAGATGGGGCACCAACTCCCTCTGCACATCCGCTGTTCGCCTCCCTTTGCCTGTCCTGGCTTCCTTTGTAAAGTAACTCTCTTGGTGTTAGACAGGCAGAGGGTGAGATGCTCAGTGATTGGGGAATAGCATACAACATGGAAGCTGGAGGGTTACAGGAGGAGAGAAGGGTGGAATAACAGTATGGGACACGTAGGGGGGATCCCAGTCAAGGGAACAGGCCTGAGTCCCGTGTCCGCAAAGATGAGGGTGGCTTGCAATATTTTAGGTGGTGCTACAGCACACCCAAGCACCCACCTGGCACCGTTCCTCGGTACACTAGGGCCCAAGCATGCTTATCCTATATGAAGCACAGAAGGGTTAAATAGCATTTGATCATTAGTCAAAACAATTTTAAAAATGACTACAGTTTTGTGGTAGGTTGCTACACTGTGAATATTTGCCTTAAACTCTTTGTCTTAAATAATATGCCCTAACTGTGATAGTTAAACATTAATTCCTGAAAGCAAGTTTAGAAAAAAGCTGTGTTGTGTGAATGTCAAATATTTCAAAGGTAGGTCATTGTGTAGTATACAGTATATAAATGCAGAAGGAGGTCAGAGATATTAGGAGCAGTATCTATTACTAGTTTCATTTACACTCTCGGGTACTTACGGCAGAAAAAGTCATTCCTCCAGGGACCTATTCTTACTCCATGGGACTGGCAGGACTGTGCATAGGACTGAAGACTATCACACAAGGTATCTGGATCCAGGTTCAGTTCACACAGGTCATAGACACAGTTGTTGAAATAGATGAGTGGGTTTATAACCTCATGGCATTCTTTAAATGCACCATTCTTATTAGTAATTATTCCACAGAAACTGTTGCTGGAAATGGTATTCTTTTCATCTACAGTACAACTTGGCTCATGTTCTGATCCAGATGTACAACTAAAATAAACATTAGAAATAAACTATAACAAACATTTATGGTGATTATGACTTTTTCAAACAATTCTATGTTAAAGTGGTTGTAACTCTTAAATATTTTAACCTTAATACATTCCCCACATTAAGGTAAAAACCTTCCACCCAGTCCCACCCCAGTCTCCCCCCAGTCCCACCTAAATACTTACCTGAGTCTGATCTCAATCCAGCAATGTGCCCGAGAGCAGCGACACTGTTCTCTCTCTTTCCTCACTGGCCATTGATCCAGCAGCGGGAGCCATTGGCTCCCTCTGCTGCTCTCAATCAAATCCTGTGAGGAGGTAGTGAGGGGCAGGGGCCAGCTGTGCAGTATGTGCCAATAGATGCACACAGCCTGGCTCAGGATCAAACCTACACATCTGCCCCCCTAGCAAGCGGCTTAATGGGGGGCAGACACAGAAGAGGAGGAGCATACGGTCTAAATACAGGAACAATAAAAATAGAAAGTGTAAACCACCTTGTTCAGTGTCAATGATCTGTTACAGATGCTGAAGTGCTTAGGATGAAGAGTCAAAGAATAAAATAGGGAAGGAGCAAGCAGAGATTGCAAGGGAACAGAAAACACGGGGGGGGGGGGGGGGGGGAGTGCCAGCTGTTCACCAGGGAAGACTTGTGGATGTACCAATGCCATATTTTGTTGCGGCACAGGTAGATTGACGATATCCTCATGGTGTGAACTGGTACCAAATATTTGCTTCAACAATTTTTGGAATTCTGGGATGATAACAACTTCACTCTCTCCCTTACTTATTCAGTAGCAGGGAGCATTATCTTTCTCGAACATATATCTCGAATATCTTTGAACATATATCGGTCCACTTGTGTACAACCAGTGTGTTGTTTTTTTCCCCGAAATATCAATGCCACTAGCTATAGGCGGCAACATTTATGTATTCTGATGGTGGGACCGTTTCCCAGCTGTCAGAATACAACACCACAGCAGGAATTATTTTCCCATATACATTGAGTGTGTGGATGGTCACACACAAAAAAATCATCAATGTATGGCCTGCCTAAATGATAAGCTCTTGTCAATTGCAAGCTAGCCTTGTCCTATATTTTGAATCAGATTAGACCATCAGTGGATGGTTTACACAATAAGAATCTCTAAAATATTCACAGAGATTTGCAGCCTGCAGCAATGGATTAACATAGGTTTACCTTTATGAATTTATGATATGATGTGATTACCTTGTTTTATTGTCCACCCGTCAACGGTTAGGTTATGTTATTCTCAACTGCAATTATGCCTATTTATACTGGATTGGATTGTTTCATTATTGGAAAGGTTAACACATATATTGGTAGGACTTTTTGACCTATTGCAATGGAATAACATGCAATAATGATTCTGTGATTACCTTATGTCATTGTCCACCCGCCAGCTGTTACCAAGACTGTTAGAGTCTGGCTCTAATTCACCACCTGGGCTTAAGAAGTCATCAGTTTGGTTTCCATTGAAGTTTCCACAGATTCCACATACTTTGTTGGCATATTCTCCTGGAATAGTTATCACCACTCTATGGTTTCCATCAAACCTCACACTTACTCCAAATGCTGTTGTCACCAGTACATCATGTCCACTAAGGAAGATGTTAATGTTTGGATGTAGGGATACTGGTAAGGTTACCACATTGTTGTCCACCTGGATTCACAATTTTATAACACAAGTTTATGATAAAAAGAATCAAAGAAGATCAAATATTAGAATCTGATAATGTTTAAAAGGTGTATACTCACCTTGACTTCTCTGTTCCACTCTAGTGTGATACTGTGTCCATGTACATCAACATTAACATACTTGACATAAGACACTCTGGTGTTGCGTCCTAGAAGCTCATTAGCTGCTTTGACATTGAATTCTGCCAGATGACCCTCAACTTTGCAGAGTTTAGATAATGTATAGGTGCAAGTTCCCATAAAATGGTGAACCTGATTGTCAAAGGTGTAGTAATGAGGGTCTCCACTAACCTCACAGTATCCTAAGAAAATATTAGAAACAACAATAAGATTCTATGAATGTTCATATGAATGTTAGCTTAGCATTACCAAACAACATTTTTATTTTGTCAAAAAAAAACACTTGTGTCATAATAAAAAATACTGTTCTGAGCTCCAGTATGTCACTTACAGCTGTGTGAGCATGCTAGAAGATAGATTTGATTGTCTGACATAATTAAATACTGAAAATAGTCTATTCTTTTTAATCAGGCAGTTGTTAAGTTGGTTAGAGGTCAGACGTGCCTATATTATGATGCACTATGCACTCTGTACATATGTTTGTGCTATGGAGGTATAGCTTTCTGCACTGGCCTCTGAACCGAAGCAAAGGAGATGGAAAACAAATTAACCACTTGACAATCAGGCTATAGCCAAATGATGGCTACAGCATGGTTGTCCAATTCTGGGAGGGAGTCATATAACGTCCTCCCAGAACGATCCCACCCCCCCGCATGTGCGCACCCGTTGCTGTCTGTAATTGATCACATGACAAGGTAAAAGGCCAACCACAGCAGCCTTTTACCACGTGATCAGCTGTGCCCAATGACACAGCTGATCACAAATTAAATACAGTTGCCGGTTATCGGCAGCGCTTTCCTCACGCTGTCACAGCATGAAGAAAGTACTGCCAATAACTGGCAAGTGTCCTGATTATCAGTGTAGCCCCAAAAGTGCCCAGCAGTGGCACTCAGCAGTGCCCCCCATTAGTGTCCATCAGTGCCGCCCAGCAGTGCCACCAGTCAGTGCCGTCAGTCAGTGCCCATCATTGCCGCCTATCAGTGACCATCAGTGCTGCATATCAGTGCAGCATCATAAATGCCTCCTCATCAATTCCCACCAGTGCTGCCTCATCAGTGCAGCCTATCAGTGCAGCCTCATCAACACATATCAGTGAAGGAGAAAATGTACCGGTTTTCAAAATTTTATAATAGAAATAAAGAAAAACTTTTTTCTTCAAATTTGTTGCTCTTTTTTCATTTATAGTGCAAAAAAATAAAATTCCAGTGGTGGTTAAATACCACCAAAAGAAAGCTATATTATGTAAAGTGCTGCGTAAATTGACAGCGCTATATAAGTACCAGAAATAAATAAAATAAATAAATATTTGTTTGAAAAAAAATGACAAAAATGTCATATGGGTACAGTGTTGCATGACTGCGCAATTGTCATTCAAAGTGCTACAGCACTGAAAGCTGAAAATTGGCCTGGGCACAAAGGGGGTAAAAGTGCCTGGTAGGCAAGTGGTTAATGCAGCTCTGTATTAATTATTACATCCTTAAATTGTAGGGTTTTTTTTAATGCAAGAAGCACCAGCATTTAAGCTGCTGTCACTCTCTTTCAGTCCTAGTTCAAACTGGGAGATGGAGAAACCGCACAAAGAGCCAGTCAGCTGTGCTGCAGTGCAAAGATAATTTTGATAGGGGGAGAGAGCAGAAGATTTTATTGTTTGCCACAAGTTTTTGAAAAATTAAAAAAAAAAATCCTATTTTTTTTTTTTTTACACCCAGTTGTCTATTTAAATGCTTGCCGTTCGCCAACAGTACATGTACTGCAGGCGGGCAGCACAGCCAGGCTAGACAGCGTACCCGCATGCCTTCTGAGTTTCAGGTGCTCGTGCACACATCCCTTGGTCACCTGTGCTGTGATTGGACACAGCACAAGTTTGTCGGTGGATTTCAGACAGTTGTTTTGTCTGAAACCTACTGATCGGCTGTGTGCAATCACTTTTGTGTTTTAAAAACACACAGAACGCTGTGTGCACAGAACAGCTATATGGCTGTTCCAGCCAGATCGGTGAGTAAAAGTAGCACATACATTACTCTTGCTAGTCACACACAGTTAACCCTTGATTTCCCCTAGATGTTAACCCCTTCCCAGCCAGTGTTATTAGTACAGTGTCAATCAGGTATTATCCCACCCAGCCAGTGTATGTTAGTGCCAGATTGCCTACCACACTATCACAGTCTCACTATAAGTCACTGATCACCGCCATTACTAGTAAAGTGTCATAGTGTCATAGAGTAAATTCCAGTAAACAGTATATACCATAGTTTGTAGATGCTATAACTTTCATATAAAAGAATTAATATATCCTTATTGTGTTTTTTTTTTTACCAAAGACATGTAGCAGAATGCATTTGGCCAAAATTTTATATTTTTAACTTTTTTATTGGATATGTTTGATAACAGAAAGTAGAAAAATAGTTTTTTTTTTCATGTATATAATAAAAAAATTAAAAACCTGGTGTTGATCATATAACACCAAAAGGAAAGCTCTGTTTGTGTAAAAAAAATTATATATATTTAATTTGGGTACAGTGTTGCATGACCGAGCAATTTCCACTTAAATTGCCACTTCACCTTTTGTAACATGTTACACATTACAATCAGACCAGCCCCCCGCCGCTCCCCACTTTGACAGCTAGCAGGCGATCTTTTTCCCCCTCGCTAGTTGTTAAATTTTTTTTAAAAAGCGGCTGTGCGAGGCTCCGCCCACATTGCCAAATAACTGATTCACAGTCATCTCTAAATGAGAGACTACGAGTCCCGACAGTCTTATCAGCTGTCAGCTTGTAGTCTTGTCAGCTGTAAAGCGCCGTGGTAGTTCATTAATTCTTCGTTCGTGCCAGTATATCTGCTTGCTCGTATCCCATACGGGCAAGCAGATATACTGACAGATCTGCAGGAGACCTGCATGGCATCAGCGATCTGCAATACTTTCCAGGCTCCTGCAGACAAAAATAATAAATGCACATTTTTTTTACCTGCAAAAAAATTGCATTTAATTTTTTTTTCTAAAAAGTGAACTTATCCCCTAAAGTAGCACAGTGCTGAAAAACAAAAAAAAAAACAAAATTTCCTGTTCATGAAGGGGTAAAACTTTCAGGCGGTCAAGTGGTTAATGAGATATTTCTCACACATGCCATTGGTATATGTGGAATTACAGCCCAAAACACATTCTGCTACTTCTTCTGAGTATAGGGATACGACATACTGTATGTGAGACTTTTTGAAGCCTATCAGCGTATGTGGGGCCCTTCAGGCTTTTAAATGGTGTAACTTGCTAATTTTATTTCCTGACTACCTATCCTGATACTACAAACACACACCCCCATTACTAATTATCCCTTTTCAAAAAGTAAACACTCCAATGTATATGATAAGAGGCATGGTGAGTATTTTGCATGTAACATTTTTTGTCACAAGGTTTTCAAAAATGAAAAAAGAAAATAAAAATTACATTTTCGTTTTAGTTCTTCGTTTTCCAAAAACCTGTGGCTTGGGGTACCTAAGGGGACATCTGGAAAATGCCTCTCATGAAGCCGGGCCAACTGCAGCTGAATTTGGGCTTTGGGTCGCATGGTGCCTCAGCAACCAATTTCTTTAATTAACAAATGTCAAAAAAATTGCCCATTTAAAAAAAGTTTGCCCGTTGTACAAATGATACCCTTTAGGAACAAGGGTGACACCAAATTCCATACTATCTTGCCACTGCTCCCCATGTAGTTTGGGCATCGGGGGGGGGGGGGGCTCCAGCTGAGTGCCTGTTCCCTTGTAAATTCTAAAACGATATGTGGCCCTTTCACAAAGCTTATACAGTTTGTGTAACGGACCACCTGGCGGTACCACTAGCACTCCACAGGTCAGGTGCCCCCAGAGTACGGAATATAAGCCTCAGAGCACTTGTTCACCAGGGCCCCTGATGGTGGGGATGGACTTGGAGCGCTCTGAGACCAGGTTGTGACTACTGAGTACACCCACCAGTGGTAGGGGTGTTCGCCAGGGGCTCCCACAGGGGAGAGCCTGATATGAGGAGGTCGGGTGACCCCAATGGGATGGATGGATGGCTGAGCAGGTGCGAGGTCAGACAACCGGGGTCGGTAGCCGTGGGGATGGTGCGGTACAAAGCAGCGGGCAGAGAATAGTCGGGTCACACGCCAGGTCAGCAACAGAAGATCAGATTCAATAGGGGGCATCCAGGAGAGAGGTCAGGCAAGCCAAGGGTCAGAGCAGGAGAATACAGCGTGGTCAAGGACAATCCATGTCAGCAACAATCAGGGTAAAGGTTCACAGGTAACAGGAATGCAGGAAAGACCAGACGGCACTCAATGACAGTTCAGGGCTGTTTAAATATCGCGCCCTGCGCTGTCATTGGTGCCAGGCACGCGCCCGCGGCCTCTAGTGCGCATGCTCGAGTTCGGATGCCGCGGCCGGCCCAGACCTAGTGCCCGCGTCCCTGCACAAGGCGGCACACTGTGCCTGCGCCGGGACCAGCGCCGCGGTGATTCCTGAAGTTTGGCCCATCTCTGGCACACTTGCTGGGGAGATATTGCTTAATTGTAAGCCTGCCAGAAAAATTTACTAGGGGCTCATCTACACAAATGTTTGGTTGGGGCATATACACTATTACAAAATTTTTGGGAAAGGTAATTTATGAGGGGCTGAATGTTGTGGAGCCAATTATAATCAAGCTCACCCCGAGAATGACAGAGGGTAATGTCATTGAAATGGATGAAACATATATGCTCATATCTATGTCTGGCCATTGCAGCAGAGAACACAGGCATATGATAATTCGGGCCTGTGGATCAATATAACTGCAATTCATTATTTTTTGTAATGCATCATGTGGTGCTTGACAGACCACCAAAAGGTAGCGCAGTACTAGTACTGGCCCTCTGCTGCATATGAGCATAATCATACATTTCTAGCACCTCAGTAACCTGGGGTAGGGTAGGGACATGTTCTCCATCGTCTGAGCTAGCTGTCAGGTTACCGCTGTTTTTTACAGGTTCGTGTTCTGAGCCTGATTCTGTCAGCATGGCATCCCCCTTCACTCTTACTGTATATGACATGCTCACAATCCTGTAGGCCTCTTCACTAGAGTTCCTTTTTTGGGACATTTTGGGTGCTAAATTCACAGGTACCTAGAATGATTATGGGAAAAATAGCTACTGGCTAGCAATTCGGGACTACTTAT